ATCCACCATCCATCCATCCACCATCCACCCACCATCCATCCATCCTCCACCCACCATCCATCCACCCACCCATCCATCCATCCATCCATCCACCATCCATCCATCCATCCACCCACCCATCCATCCACCATCTATCCATCCATCCATCCTCCACCCACCCATCCACCCACATCCATCCACCCACATCCATCCACCCACATCCATCACAAAAGTGACCATGCGTGTGAACGCTGGTCAGCAACCCACAAACTCAAGCCAGGGGCTGAGCTGCTGTCCTTCAGCGGTCCGGCAGTGGCTGGGCAGCAGCACAAAGAGGAGTTTGGGGAGAAGCAGCTCTAAGAAATGGATGTGCCCAGCTGGCTGCCCAGCTCCAGGGCCCTCAGTCTAACGCCAAACGCAACCTCCTATAGTCTCCGAGGATGAAAGTCCTTGTCCGGACATCGGGGAAGAGGAAGTGGCCAAGCGTGGGCCACCTTGCCCTGAGGGCCTGTCTTGTAGCTTTTGCTCACCATGGGGCGTCTGCTCAGTGCAGAGACACAGAACTTCAGAGGGCTCTGGACTTTGTCCCCAGCACCCACAGACCTCACTGCCAGCCCAGCTGACAGACGAGAAAGCCGAGGGCCACCGTGAGTCAGCAGACAGCCTTGTCGGGCGATGGGGTCGGCTGTGGCCCAGTGCCCTCCCCACGGAGCCAGCCCTCCTCATGCCTCACACCCGCCACACTGGGGGCTCCGCCTCCCCTGCGCTGGGTGGCACCCGGTGGCTGCAGGTGGGCCATCCTGCCGCTCTGTCCTGCCCCGCCTGCCACCTGGAACCTCCTTAAAGACTAATGCTTCTAGCAGAGCCCACACACCATCACAAACCCTGTGATGTGCTGGGGCATCTGGGCAGAGGGCACCCCAAACGTGGTGCTGGGATGATAATAGTAATACACCTTGACAGGAGTGAACTCGGAAACAGCACTCAGGGCGGGGGCCATGTGGCAACGTCTCCCAGGGCTGTCCTGGTCGGGGCAGGAGCTGGGGACCTGAGGCAGTTCTAGGAGCCGTGGGCGTGGGGAGGGTCCTCAGAGTGAGGTCTG